GGTGGCAAGATAATTGTGTACTCCGCGCATGGGAATGCGTATGTTTAGTTAAGGATAGTAGCCACGTTCTGCGGGGACTGGGCAATCTGTCCGATGAGAGTTTTCTCATGGTGTATGCACGTGCGCTTTATACAGCTGCCACTCGGAACTTGGAAGCTTTCCTTTGGTAGCTGTTAAGTATGCAAACTTGGCGTGTCTAGTTGGTTATCGGGGAGTAGAAGTGTTACACAGCACCTGTTTGCTATGACAGTTTGAAGCTTTGTAGGTTTGTTATGGTCTGGTACGTTGATGTTGTTGCACTAAATGGGGTCCGCATGACAAGTACATCGCCTCCATCTAAGAGGTGTACTGGTGCCGCACGAAATCTGTATAGTGTTGATGTGAGCGGCTGCTTGTTTTGAGGTGAGATCAGCATCGCGGAAGAAACCTACAACCTTCATGTCAAACATGCCGAATCTCCACAAGGCAATGCCATATGGTAGCTGCAGAACTTGCGCATGTACTTGTAAAACTTAAGTAGGCACTGTCAAACTACAAGGTTCAATTTGTACAGGTATCGTGTGGGCAATGTCTAAATCTGCCTCGGGATTGCGGGTCGCGGAAAAGAGCGCCGGCAGTTTACACGTGGGAAATTTGCACAATCATGCGAGCTCTATTCGGTTTTCAGCTGGAAGCAAAACCGGGGTTTCATGAGGTATGTCTGTTTTATTTGAATATCGTATGGATGCCATACGGCTATTGCGCTGGCTGCAAGGGGGAATTGTACAGAAGCCGTGTCAGAGGCGCGCAAATTCCAGACGGTGTGTGTGTGTGTGTCTCATGATATATGCGAATATTTGCGCATTGAAGCTGTAGCGCTATCGTATGAAACATTCTGTACAATATTCACACTGAGGCTGTGTGGGCTTGGTGCTGGAGTTGACAAATTTTCTTTGACACTATTTAGCTTTCACATGATAAGTTGCAGTTTCCAGTTGGCAATTGTATAACCTACATGCTTTCAACACAAGACCATGGGGCAATTGCCGTAGCATTAGATGTAATGGCGCAAATAACGAAACAAAATAATACACCTACGGTGCATCATGAACATGTGCACAGTGCATCATACTTCGGAATACTGTTTAAGAACCGACAGCCGAACTCCGCAGAAAGCTTGGCACATATACCGGCACTGGGACTCCGATATTCTTCTGTCAAGGACTCAGAGGCAAATCCTACCCCGGCGACGAGGTCCCCAGAGGTCCAGAACAACGGAAACGCAGGGAAGGCATCTGTAGCGTTATTTACTTCCCGACGACGTCAATCACCACGGTGGCAGGCCTGCAGCTTGGAAGTGGGAGGCCCGACGGCTAAATGCGAGCCAGCGTGCCATGGTGACCTTTACAAGCAAAGTGTGATACCAGATAGACGTCTGCAAGGATTCCAGGAGGATCTCGCCGTGATCCTCCGAAGACCCCCCAAATCCTCTAAGGACCTCCCGGAGATCCTCCAAAGCTCCCTCAGAGATCCTTCCAAATCTCGCAGAGACTTCTCAAGACGTTTGGAATTCTTGCCATAAGCTTTGTACCATTTCTGGTGTGCCCCCCTCCCCGCCGAGTAAACGCCCAAGGAATGGCCTGGAAGAGTTGTTGGATCAGAATGTCCTTCTTTCCTCCCTGTTCGGTTTCGTTCATCCTCGAGCCCGTTCGGCCTTCTTGCGCCAACGTAACCCCACGACGCCCAGGAGGGCGCTGAGACGGCCCCTGGAGCCTCCAAGACGGCCCAAGAGAGCCTCGATAGGAGCCACACGAGGGCCCCAGGAGGCGGTAATCACGCCTCGTGTATAGTGTATAAGTATTTGCAGGTTGTCACCGTTCTCGCTTTTTTGTTTTCCTATGCTCCAAGAGAACCTACAACAGTTGCCCAAGACAGCCTCCCGATGGCCCAAGAGACCTCCAGACGGCCCAAGATGGGCCCAACAGGGGGAAGCTACCTTATATTTCGACGCCTCCACCCCAAGAAGACGCCCGAAACCGCCAGCAGGCTCCCGATGGCCCCCGAAAAGGCTCCCCAAGACAACCAAGAAGCCCCCGAGAGGCCTCTTGCCTTAGTGCTGACCTCTTTGCAAGCACGGCGGAACTGGCCGTAAGGCTTTCGCAATATCGGGCTGGGAACTGCAGAATGAAGCACACGTGAGTGAAGCATACGTGAATAGAGAGGCGGGGAAAGGCAAGGTGCCCAGCGGAGGAAATTACGGTCCCGATGCCGCGGGATGCACGCCAACTCAGCACGTTGGAGAAGCCGAGACTGCCCCCCACGTGCTCCAAGAGCCCATGATTCCAGAATCAGATCGAATGCCTTCAGCCAAATCTGCCCGATACAAGGGCATGCTCCTTGTATCATTGCAATAAGCAGCGCATACATGTTTGCACCTACATGTCAATGAATGTCATGCTTGTATGCCTGCTGTGGCACCGAAGTTCTCTCATTCTCGCAGAACCCGACAGAGTCTTCTCGG